TATCCTGGTTGAGTTCCCCAGTTCTCCGCATGAAGCTATGCCAGGGGCAGAGCCGGGGGACGGTGATCCGATCCATGGAACCAACGGCCACTACAGGCGGGCAAGAATTGGCGAGGAGTGAAAGGAGCAGTATCTCCCGATGGGATATTGGGATGGGCATTTGACCAGCTTTCGTTGCGCCGTCGCGTTCAATGGCACCTCGGTGGACCTCTCTCACTGAGCGCAACATCTATCCACATTCCGTGCGGGACTATGACTTTTGAACTTGCAGTCAATAGTTGACCGCGACTCAAGAGCACGTAATGGTGTATTGTCTTGTCAGCAGAGGCAATACTGGATGTTTGCAGACTTGTAGATCTGTTGTCTGCACAGCGTTAATCTCATTTCGCATACACAGCCCACCCACCAGCCGCTCACACTATCCAGTTGGCTGCTCATGAGCCACACTCAAACTGAACAGCGCCAGACGCGGAAGAATTCATCGCAATTTCCGTCGCCCTAGCCTTCGCCTTCAAGCCGCAGCCCGTCTGCAGTTTTTCAATAATCCAATTCTCCCGCCTTCGCCCAGCTGGGCATCAACGCTCCCAAATGCTCTTACAGACCTCAGACCACCGCCCACTTGACCTCATAATGAAGGGGCGCTGCATGCCAAGTTGTCAGCGCCGGATCTCAGCGGATTGATTAAACTTGCACGTCACTGCAAGGCACATTTTCTTTTGACCTTGCTCATTCGCCCCCCAATCTCAGCTCGCATCCGCGGGCTCCGCATCAGTAACTCGTCTAAATCACTTGATCCGAAAGGCCCGGCGCAGTGAAGACCAATGCCGACGCCGTCCAAATAGACGAATAATGGCAAGTCGGCACGCGCGATCCCCTGGGATGATCCTTTGTCAAATATTTTCCTATTGCAACTCTTATAGTTTAATCCCTTGCGAAGTTGCGACGAACGGTCGTTATTGACAAAAACGAGGTCCAAGACCTCGTCAACATGAAGCAGCCGCCCCTGCCCCTCAATGTGGAAACCTCCTTGGCAGATCGGACCTCGCGATAACTTCACAACGCTGACTCGCTTCCGGCTGACGCCGACGCCGATGCAACACACCATTCACCAATAATTCACACCTCCCGGACCAACCAAGCCTTCTACCGCTCCACAATTACTGCCAGTTGCTCTTGATGACATCCACAATAACGCCGTGATCCTCGTCCTGCTTCAACCCGCTGACGACAACCACGGCGACGACGCCCTCGACGCCCTGGACGCGGATGGGCACGCCGCCGCCGTGGATGGCGTACTTGCCCGCCTGCTCCGTGCTCATGCCGAAGCGCGCGGCGAAGGCGGCCTCGTTGCCGGCGAACTTGTTGTGCAGGAGCCAGGTGCTCGCGCCCCAGCGCAGCACGCTGGCGCGCTTGCGCTGCACCCAGGTCTCGTTGTCCGGGAGGGAGCCGGAGCCGACGGCGGTCTGGAAGAGGACCTGGCCGCCGCTGTTGGCGAGGGCGATGGAGATGACGGTGGGCTTGCCGGCGGCGGCGAAGGGGAGGAGGCGGGCGTAGAGGAGGTGGCCGAGCTCGAAGGCGTCTTCGGAGGTGAAGGATGAGAGGATGAAGGAGTCGCCGTCTTGCTTTAGTGCATCGACCTAGGTTTGTTAGTTGACATCAAGATCACATATTGAACCTTTTGTGTGTAGCTGCATGGACGGGATTTCGATTTATGTGGAAGGTGGAGTTCATAGTGAGAGTGTGATGAAATGGGTCAGGGAGGCTTGAGGGATCGTATTCAAGGTATGATTGGGACATATTCGGACGCAGAGGCAACGGCGTGGTACAGGTATGGGATGTGGTCGGGTGGCAGTGACTACGATCATTATGGGCACGGGGTTGATAGAAGTGGGAAGAAACAAGGCAATGGGTGAAGATGACAATTAAGGATGGCAGTGGGTGGGATGAAGTCAAAATGATGAAATCTGGGATCAAGCATGGAGACAGGAGAAGCTTAAATAATGAAGGAGAATAGGTTCGGAGCAACACTTACATCGGACGGCGGCGATGGAATCGGGTTCGGAGCGGCGGGGTTCCGGACGGCCTCGAGGGACTTCTCCAAGCCGAAGCCTGCGGGGTTCCGACGGGTCCAGACCTTCTGAGACATGCTTGCTGGTGTCGGTTGCGCTTGGGTGCTCGCTCGGAGTGTGTACGAATTGGAAGCGAGTTCACTTCTTTCGGGCGATGATTCCACGGAGATACCTGGAGTCGAGGAAGAAGGTGAGTCGTCTTGTATCTGTCTTCTCAGTCAGTCTTCTTCTCCTCGTCACGGCGGCGGCGGACGTATTTAACATCCCCACCGTCGCCCAAGATGTGATGTGGTTCGCCCCCCCCTCCGCTGATGCAAAAGCCCACTTGGTGTCCCAGAATCCGGGCCATTTCTTCCAACTGTTACAATTACCGCATCAAGGAAAGCGCGCTGCCAAACACGTACCGAGTCCGGGATCTCCTCCTGCGCGCCGCGCTGCACCTCGGCGGGTGTCCTCACCACCGGCGGTCGTGCGTGTGCGCTTGTTGGTGTCGCGACTTTGCGCGCACCAGAGGTTCGCACCTTTCCTGCGCCCTTGTTATTATATCTGTAGAGACCCCATTCGCGCAGCCGCCTCTGGAACGTTTTCTGGTTCACTTCGACGCCTTTCGCGGCGAGAGATTTGATGATGCTCTCGTTCGTCTCGCGACGGTTCCAGGCCTCAGTGATCTCGCCCTTGAAGGGTTCAAGGTCGAGTTTGGGGCGTCCTGGAGGCATCTGGGATAACCGTGTTCCATTTGTGGATGACTTGAAAGTTTGCGCGCTGATTCGCCTGAAGGACCTGGTCCAGGCTTAGCAAAACCTCGAGAAGGGAACACCGGTCAATGAGAATGTCGATGCGATGGTGAGCGTGTTCGGTGTTTGCTCTTGGCCGGGCGCGACTGGTTTCAACGGCGGTGGAGCTACCCCTCAGGCGTGGATCCACCCGGCAACGGCCGACATGCCCCGTACCCAAATCGCCGAGACTCCCCGGTGTGACGGCCACGTCAGATCCGGATGAAGCCTCACTCCCGGGGCAGCGAATCGTGCGTGATGTTCTTTGGATCATCATTTTTTCCGCCTTTACCAACCTTTTGTACCCAAACAGGAGGAGAAAAAACAACGCAGACGGAAGTGAATATCTCTTTTCGATTTTACAACCTCAAATTTAAATGAGATCATTATTCTGGAGATAATGATTGCAGAACCGTACAACGTTGTTTGATACCAAAAGCATAAGTGTATAATGAAGGGCTCGAAAGTCAGCCATCGTCTGTCTATTCAGCGGGTCGTGTTAACGAGTTTTTGTTTAATAGATGTCTTTCGAATTCTTTGTCAATATCCCTCTAACGTGTATTATAAAACTAGAGAATCAATTTAGGACAGCGTTTATTACGATGAAACAACTGGTCAATATTTCTCCAACGAATATGATACGACTACTTACAAATGCGCTACTTCAAACCCTAGGAGGCTTCTTGGTCGAACTAGTCAGACTTTAGCTCGCCATTCTTAGTGCGATAAAATGCATTTTCAAGGAAGTCATACAGCATGTGACCACAAAGACTGCAACAGGTAGGCGCTGTCAAGACACTACGACAAAACACTAATATGATCGCTACCTCTGAATCTCCGAACGACACCTAGGGAACGACTAACAAAGGTTATTGGGGTCAAGCCATTCCATTGGGACCAAACAGGTTTCTCTAGAGGGGCAAGTATGGCCACATCTTTTTACTATTCGATATATCTATGAGTTGACCTTCCAAGAGCCTGAGCAAATCTTACGACCATGGAGATATTTCTGCGGCCCAATGTCAATGAATCTGCCGAGCAACCTGTGTTTAACAAAACTCGACACAAGTCGCAACTCATTGTCGCTTCTATCTTAAGAAAACAGGGCAGATCAGAAGAGAAGAATAAGTGGTATCATCGGGATATTCGGAGGTTTTGGCGGTGACTTGTTTGCTTTTGACTTCAAGGAGCATTCCGGGTTCGCATCACCGAAAGGAAGTCTATTCATTTATGCTTCAGAGTACAGAGGCTGGTCATGCAACAACTTCGAGTAACAGACTTCAGATATTAAACGCGACCAACAGTTGGGACCAGTCCGTTGCAAATCTCAGCACAGAGCGGGCAGCGTCCCAACCCCAGCAAAGGGCGTGCTTACCTCTGATGGCTCAAACAAGCGGTCAGCCATCTTCTATCGTGAGCCATTTGTTGTTGTCTTCTCCGCATCGGACCTGTGGAGAGTCTTGATAGATTGATGTTACATGTGTGTAAAGAGGCTTTTGCCGATCTTTTCCCACATCTAGTTGTCAGACTCAAGCCGGTAGTATTCGTAGAGTCCCGTGCCACTTCATATCAAGCCGTCATGCGACCTCTCCCAACTTGGGCAACCGGCCGATGGACGATTACTAACATCTTATATTGGTCATGGAAGAGGTCGTCTTGAGGGTCGGACTTGCTCCATAAGCTAAGTCACCTGGGGTCCAATTCGCAAGAAATCTCGGCGGCTCAAAACACCTTAAAACTTTCGGATGGTCGTGCCGATAAGGCTCAGGATCGCTACCAGCAAAAAGGCATAAACGTGAACATGGGGACCATTTTCTGTATATGATGCGGAGATTTCAAGCTCTTTTAGGCAGCCGATTTCGACTTGATGTTCAAATGTGGTAGCCTTCGGGTTCCGCACTTGACATCGTCCGCCACATTCCGTGAGTCGAGCACTCTACCTGTGACAACAGACAGAGGGCTATCCCTGGTTGTCGTCGAAGGCAAAAGTCGGATGAAAAGGTACGAAAGTTAAAGTTCGCTGACTTCAATTGAGTTGAACATCAACAACTCCGGCGATGACAAAGACTTTGGACAGCTCGGCAACTTCTCCGTTGACGATCTTGAGAGCTGTTGTGGGCCTGTCGCAACAACTCAACATCGAGTCCTTTCGGATGATGGCCGGTTGGCCCAATGGCAAGGCGTCTGACTACGATCCACCGTGGAATCAGGAGATTCTGGGTTCGACCCCCAGGCTGGTCAAGTTCAATTTTTGCTGTTCGGCGCATTGAGCCTCGAGTTGTGCTTGACGCCATAGTGATGCTTAGGGCACAACTTTTTGATGCCTCCACGGGAGTTAAGGTACCCACATGACCGTTTTGCCTATTGTGGGCCGAAGCACGGTTCGTTGGTTGTTCCTTGAGTCGAAGGAAAAGCTTGCGTTCACCGTATCGTAAGGATGCAACGGCGGGAGTTGCGCAAGGAGGCTCAGTCGACAATAGGCGAAGTTCCGACGCGTTAACGTTTGTACGCGGCCGTTGCATTGGGCCTACGCGTGCCTGGCAGCGTGCGTCACTGGGGATCCGTGACCATCGAATCAGACCAGCGTCTGTCAACTGATCGAGTGCGAGAACGAGCATATTTCATCGTGATAAGATTCTGGGGAACTGACGGCTCGAAGCCAAGGGATGCTCGTATCCCGTCGGCACAGCCGCTCCGTCGGCGGCCGTGAGAGGCCGGCATCGCCGTGGGCCCCTGGTCGGCACGGTCGGCTTGTGGGAGACGTCTTGGCTGCCAACATACCCAGGGCTTGACATTCAGGGATGATGACCAGGGCGTCACCTGTGGCTTGGCCCGATTCGGGACATTGGTCGACTGCAATCGTGAGCAAAGTCCCGAGGTGCACTTGGACGGCAAAACCACACCACATCACAACGCCGATTCGCGATGTTCTCGAGGGTTTCTTTATGTACGGGCGTCCAAGGCACGACGGCATACGCTTCAATATAAGAGAGACGATCACCAACCAGCGCATAAAGTAAAATCAAACTTTAATAACCGGCAAGTGGAACCACTCACTGCCATCAATCCATGACAAGAACCAATCTCCTCTTGGTGCCTGACTCGTATCTCGACCAGGGTTCTGGTTTCAACCGGGAGTCGGGGATCATGCAGGCCCCCACACATTTTGGAATTTCCCCTGGCTAACAAGCCACAGGAGACTGCGATCACGACAGACGTCAACGGAACGCGGATGAGCCAGGTTGGTCCCTCCGGTCACTGGGTCAAAAGTGCCCCTAATCCCGCACTGGCCGACTCTCCGGGTCTTCTCCCCTTTGGGCTGAGAGGAGAACTGGAGGTTCAAGGATCTTTATCAATACACGTACCCGGTGCTGGCCAAGTGAACCGTGCCATCTCCAGTCCGGCAGCAGAGGGAAAGACGTTGGTCCCTTTTCAAGTAGTGTAGTCCCCGTGCCCCCTCCTCCACACCGGCCTACCTAAAACTCTTTCTTCGTCCCATATCGTCAGTCGACCTGAACAGCACAGTCATCCCGCCGGTAAACGTGTCACGAGAAAATCACATTCGAGGGAAACATCCGATGTTAGGAAGAGACTTGGTCAAGGCGTCGTCGTCCTGCTAGAGAAACAAACAAAGGTTTTCGGCGCGCCGTGCGTCGAATGAAGCGACCGAAAATGGCCTCGAGGCATCGAACCCGAATCTTACCGCCATCGTCACTCCTCATCTCATACCTCGCGTCAACAGCTCAGGCCGCGTTCACCAATGACTTTTCCGCATACCCATCATCAGCGCGAGCATGTCTCTACAAGGCGGCGGACGCGTCCGGTTGCACAGGTGACACGGTAACCGAAATGAACCACTGTCTCTGCGGTAATGGGGGAAATTTCGTGACATCGACCGCGTCATGTGTCGCCTCGACGGATCACGACGAGCTGGATGATGTTTACGAGATGCTTTTGACGTCTTGCACAGACTCAAAAACGCCATTGGGTGTCTCACAGGCAGAGTTTCTCTCGACCGGCAGCTCGAGTTCGTCATCTTCATCAACAATGAGCTCAACATCCACGACTTCATCAAGCTCATCAACGACATCATACATTCCATTAACGACATACAAAAGCGTAGCAAACGGAGTGACGGTAACGGTTACGAAGGGGATTGAATCGGTACCGACCGGGACGAATGTTGGAAAGGGGAGCAGCAGCAGCGACACGTCGGACTCGAGTTCGGGTGATGGGCCTGGTCACACCGCCCTGGCGGCTGGTCTGGTCGGAGGAATTGCAATCGTTCTGGCTATCCTGGCATTCCTTTGCTACCGCAAGAGGAAACAGAAGCAGCAGCGTGAAGCCGGTGCCGGACCCGGTGGAAAGTTCGCGGCCTTGTCCAGCGCGACAAGCCTTACGACCATGAGCTCGCCGCCTCAGAACAATGCAACTGCTGCAGCAACGACTCAGTACCACAACGTCAACGATCAACGACCCGGTACCGCCGGCACAATGCAGATTGCCGCCACTCCGGGATGGCATCAACACGAACACCAACAACAATATCAACAAGGAAACCTTAGCCCGCAACACTGGCAACAGCAAAACACACACGGCCAAGGTTCAGGATCATGGCCATCGCCCGTATCGAATGGAGCAACAGGCACTTGGGGAGGACACGGAGTGTCACCCGTCTCTCAATATCCTCCTGGCACATCCCATGGATCATCACCGTCAATGCAGAACGGAACCTGGAACGGCCAGTCTTCGACCGCGAGAGACCTCACTTGGAGTGCTCAAGCCCAGAACAACACCTGGAACCCCCAAACATCACCACCAAATGGAACATGGAACGCTCAAGCCATGCCTGTTCCTATTCCCGCCCCTATGCCCCATCCCTCCAACTCAGCAACATCTCCCGTCTTCGAACTTCCCGGAGACAACATGCAAGCCGTTGAGGCAGACTCTACACCAATCGGTCCCGCCCAGCCGGCACCAACACAGCAACACCACAATCATTACCAACACTACGCACAACCATCATCATCAATACAAAACACGCCACAAATGGCAACCGCACATCCAGCACAACCTGCGCCTGCGCATCACGGCATGAACAGACAGGTGGATGATGCACTACAAATATCACAAGTAGAATTACCGCCGCCACGGTACACGGGACCATCAAGCCCAGATTGGGTCAGCGAGGACAAGAAGTTTGGATGATGGAAGAAAATCTCTTGGCGAGATAGCTTTTCAGCATAATGATATTTTATTAATCCTTGTAATACTAGACTTCAGGCATCACTGCCGTCATGATGCCTAAGACAAAATTTACAACCTTTCATCACTAAGCAAAGCGCATTCATTAAGTTCACCCTTTGGCCAAGTGTTGTCGCGTCTCAGTTGCTCTCCTGATGTCGCAGATGCTGACTTCCACCGAGGCAGTGTTTGGCTCGACTCCACGATCGTCACTTTTCGCTCCATGTTGGACCTCCTGTCCGTCCTGGCTGTGGCCGTCGGCTGAATCTCCTTGTCTGCCTTGTGTGCACGAGCCCAGTGAACCCTGGTCCAATGCAAATCATATAATTATCAGTATTTGCCAATTACGGATGCACATTTCCAGTCCCTCACGGCTGAGGCTCAATAACGGCCGGGTCCATTCAGGGGCCGGGCAACCATGGCGGGGCGGTGGGAGATGCTCGTGCCACTTGTCACACAGTGAACCCAGCCTCATCGCGACGATCTCTAGATCCCACCGTTTATTACGGGGAGCAATCCAATATTTGGCGCCAAGCACTCGTTTACGGAGATAACATCAGCCCAAGGTGGCCGGAGAAGGCTCTGAGGGCTGAAGATCTATGGATAGGGCGCATTCCGAATTTTGACCGCTGCAGAGGTAGAAAAAAAAGTATGGAGTTATACTGCTGACAGCAAATGATGAAAGAGTGTCGCGATTCAACGGCAACGAAGGCAAAAAGATGTCCTCGGAGAGGCTCGAACTCTCGACCTTTGGATGTCCCTGCCTTCAGACAGAGTCATATTGAGTAATATGAGACCAACGCTCTACCGACTGAGCCACGAAGACAATTGATTGGTGGATGCAGCCGTAGAATGGGTTAAGAATGGATGGGTCTCTGACTCATTGTTGGTGGAGAACCCTTGGGGAGCCTCACCGACGTCTGTTTGGTCAGTGGCGCTTAGAAAGCGTTGAATGCGATAGATTCAGTCTGGGGAAAGGTATTAAGAGGCTTGCAATGGAGGATGTGAGACAAACGCTTCGACATGCGATCGGGGATCCTAGCGTCATCCCGCCCCAAGACCGGTTGAGCAAGTCGGAAGACGGAAAAGACGCGGGTGCCGCGACTAGCAACAGGCTCGCTCTTTGTGTTAAAAAGAACTTGATGACTGTGCTTTGAGTCTGATATCACGGGCCTCAAAAGTTGTCGCGACGGGTGCTAGGCGAGGCAGCCCTACGGTCACAACGTGTCTCTCACAGACAGCCCCCAATGATCCCGTTGGCAAGACATCTGTCCCTTTTCATTGCGAAAGAGGCCTCTTGTCAGCCTTACCCAGCCACAGAATGCGGGTTTCGTGTTCCATACGCGCGTCTTCAAGACGCTAGCGAATCCTTTGGTGGTGATTGGACCGGTCCTCTGGGGCTGAGCTGCATGAGAGCGGCGCAGAATTCCTGCCTGGATCGAGGAAAAGTCCCCAATCACGTCCGAGTCGGGTCATCATTCCACCACCACACAATAGATCACCAGAGGAGTCGGGTACCCTTGTCTTTGGATTTAACCATAAATCACCTCCGACGACCGAGCGAGGTGCCAAGCCCCATATTTGGGAAAATACCCATTATCAATTGAACCGGGAGTGCTGGCCGACGACGCAAGCAATCATGGCGATGTCCGGTTTCTCTACCACGGCGGTGACGTCTAGCTGTGACGACATCTCCCATCGGTCCCTTTCAACGTCTGCGGAGCTTGATACCCTTCTCAAAGGCATCGATCCGGGAAGCATAGCTGCTCAGCACCTGATTTCGCTGTCTGCGAAGCTCGACCAGTTCAAGCAGACAACGGAGCAGCTGCGGCAATCGCTGACAGATGCCTCGGCCATGTCGCCGGGGCTCCGAAATGCCATGTCCATCTCCATTCAGCCATGCGCCGATGGTGCAGCGATCGTCGACAAGCAGATTCGGAGACTTGACCCGGGGAACGTAATCGGTATCAACCCAGATGTCGTTATCCAGTATGAGA